CAATTGCAAATCTCTGTGCCGCAGCTTGCATCTCGAGTGATTCACAGTTGGCATCTTATCAAAGAAAAGAGAGAGAGAAAGAGACGGAGAGAGACAGAGAAGAAAAGCAAAATACAATTTTCGAACAAAAGCGCAGTTTGCAACAGTTTAAAACAAATCCGAAATGTAATTAACTAAACTAATTAGCAGAGACCCCAAACAGAACCGAAAACTTAAACCGGAACACATGTGCCTAAGTGGATGTGAATAATAAATTGTCATGATAGCTGTGAAGAACCGAAAATACAACAACAACAACAACAACAACACCACCAACAACAAAATAGAAATAGAAATAAAATAAAAAACCCGCTTCATACACAGCTGAAGGAACAGCTACAACTGATACCGAGTACTCATCGCGCTTATCGCTCGGAGCAACGCTATGCTATATAGTAGTAGCTCCGGTACGATTATAACTGTATAGCTAACGGATGGACTTAGTGTAGTTCTGGTTTGGTGGGCGCGAAGACAGGCGGTGCCCACAAAGGCACTTCAAAGCGGGACGGAAGAGCGAGATAGAGAGAGAGATAGAGAGTGAGACGGACAGCAGCAAATAAGGCTCGATTTCGGATGGGTTTGTTAAGGATATTATGCAAATAGCGTGTGCCAGGCAAGTGCGAAACTTGTCAGCTTGTTGTGGATTGGTAAACCACTTGCCAATGCGTGTGCGGGTGTTTGCGGGTGTGCTTGTGTGTGTGTCTGTGTGTGTGTGTGCGGCTTATTTATATGGCAGATACTTATCAACTGGGTATTCGACAAGAGCTCGTATTACTGTTACTACCTATTGCGGCTGTCGTGTGTGCGCGCTCTGACTGACTGGACGATATCTTTTTTTTTTCGGCCTCTCGTTTTCGATTTCGTTTTCACTTCGCCTCTTATCTTGGCTATTTGTTGCCCTGTAACTTGGACAGCGCTTGTCATATATACACACATACATATATATATATATATATATTTCTGTCTAACAGCTCAAATTACGATTTAGTTTCGAGTGTTTAAATAAGCCACTAGGTAGCTAGCTGCAAGCCCCAGACAACAATGACAACAACTACAACAACAACAACAACAATAGCAGCTACAAGAACAGTAAATAAATAAATAAATAATCGGTGCGTAATTTGTGCAACATTTTTGACAAGTGTTTTTTCATGATTATTTGTGTGTGAGTGAGTGTGTGGGTGTGCGTGCAGAGAATTGGTGTGAGATCAAAAGTGTGTTGAGGCTTGTTAAGAACTATTTCAAGTTGTGGGAATATGGGTTATTAGCAATAGACAGGAAGACAGAGAGGAGAGAGAGAAGAGAGAGAGAGAGAGGGAGAGAGAGAGAAAGAGAGAAAGAGAGAGAGAGAAAAAGAGAAAGAAAAGTAAGACAAATTGCGAAATATAAATATAATGATAATGATAAAAAGAAATGAAAATGAGAATGAAGATGAATGGGAATGACAATGTGGAAGAGAAAAAGAATAAGAGGGAAGTTGAAAAGGAGAATTAGAATGAAAATACGAATGACCGTAAGAATGTTAAAGAGAAGCAGAAAAAGAATAAATTAAATTAATAATGAGACTGAGAACGATATTCAGTGAGGATGAGGACGAGGTGAGATGATGATGATGATGAGAATGAGAATGAAAATGAGAAGGAGATTGAGAATGGATTGGTAAATCTTCAACCAGTCATCAGAAGATTTTCTGTATTTTCTGCCAATGTTAATACAAGTTTTTTCCTTATTATAATTTAAGGAAACAAAAGAATTATCTACTATAATAAATTACAACTTGAAACTTTAAAGAAACTTTTTGCACTGC